AACAGCGCCTACTATCTGTCCCTCCCTTCTTCCTTTCTTTTGTTACTATACTTTCTCTAATTCCTTTTCCTTTGTTCCCGCTCCCATTGCAAGGAACAGCTCTAGCTGACTTGCCTGGTACCCTGCAGATGAACAGGATAGTTAACACCACTGTGCGCAAGGTTTTTCACCCCCCTGCGCCAAGGCGCAGTGGGGTTTTCCTAGCTAGACATATGGTAGCAGAACCGCATATCCATTGGATGAAAGCGGAGTATAATAAATAATAATAATAATAATATAATAATATATATTTTAAAATATTATTTTTGTAATAACTGTGTATTATTTATACTTTAAAAATGTAATTTAAATAAATTATTATATTAAATTATTTAAGTATATTTATATTTAATAAATTTTTTTTAAAAATTTAAAATTTCAAGAATTTTCAATATTTTACTTGTAATTTATAAAAAAAATTATAATAAAAAAATAAAAAAATTCTTAAAAATTAAAATATAGAATTTTTATATAACATAATTTAATATTTAATAACGTAATCCATAAGCGAGCATAAGCAAGCGAAACACTTCCCACCCTGCCATACGATGAGAATGCTTTTCATTAAAAATGTCTTCTTTTAGCTATTGAAGCCTTGAATAAAGGCCAAATTCTAAGCATACGAGCTGCAGCAAAGCTGTATGATGTTCCTCATACCAGTCTATTTCATCGAATGAAGGGTCGTACAACACGCATCAATACTCCCCCAAAAAACCGAAAACTCAGTCTTAGTGAGGAAGAATCTCTTGTTCAATGGATTCTAGTCATGAATGAGTGAGGTCAGCCACCCCGGGTTGCAGCCGTACGAGAAATGGCCAATCTCCTTCTTGCCAGTCGAGGATCCAACCCCTCACCCACAGTTGGTGAATGCTGGGTACGAAACTTTGTCAACCGCCATGAAGAGCTGAAATCTAAATTCTCCCGCAAGTATGATTATCAGTGTGCACTATGTGAGGATTCTGAGGTTATCCGTGGGTGGTTTAGACTCGTACAAAACACCATTGCAAAGTATGGGATCCTGGATGATGATATCTACAACTTTGATGAGACTGGATTTCAGATGGGGGTTATTGGGACTGCCAGGGTCATTACTGGGTCTGAAAGAGCTGGGAATCCTAAGCTTGTACAGCCTGGAGATCGGGAATGGGTGACTGTTATTGCTGGAATTAATGCAACTGGCTGGGCTCTACGTACGATGATTATACTCAAGGGAAAGATGCACCAGTCCTGTTGGTATGAGACAGAAGGGCTGCCAAGTGACTGGGTGATTGAAGTCAGTGAGAATGGCTGGACCACTGACCAGCTGGGTGTGTACTGGCTGAAAGAGGTGTTCAACAAGGAGACCCTACCCCGTACGAAGGGCAGATATCGACTATTGATTCTAGACTGGCACCGAAGTCATGCCTCAGCTGGATTTGATCAATTCTGCTCTGAGAATCAGATTATTGCTCTCTATATGCCACCTCATTCCTCCCATCTTCTTCAGCCATTGGATGTTGGCTGCTTCTCACTGAAAACAGCGTACGGACAACAGGTAGAGAACCAAATGCGGCTTGGGATCAACCATATTGATAAGGAGGAGTTTCTGGCCCTATATCCTGCAGCTCAGATACAGGCCCTGACTGAGAGCAACATTAAGAGTGGTTTTAGAGCAGCTGGGCTGGTTCCGTACGATCCTGAGCAGGTTCTCTCACGACTTAATACAACAATGCATACCCCCACCCCACCTGGGACCTCTCATAGCTCTCAGGCCTCCTGGGCCACTGCTACACCACATAATATACACCAGCTAGAGCAGCAGACTAAGAAAGTTAAAGGATATATTAAGCGCCGTACGCAGAGCCCACCCAGCCCAACTGATCGTGCCCTAAATCAGCTGGTCAAGGGATGTCAAATGGCAATGCATAGTGCTGCTATTCTAGCAGCTGAAAATAGGGAGTTAAGGGCTACAAATGCTAAACAAAAGAGAAGGCGAGAAAGAGGCCGTACGTATGTAGCTCAAGAGGGTGCTTTAAGGGTTGAAGAAGGCTTGGATCGCGTACGAAGGGTCAATGAATTGGAAGGAGGGGTGGTTGAGGCTGCTGGCTCTCAACCACGAAAACGTGCAGCACCACGGTGTAGTGTATGTGGGACTATTGGACATACTGCTCGTACATGCTCTAAGCATATAGAAATTATCTCATAATATAATTAATTGTATTCTCTTTGTTCTTGAGCTCTTTTATGCTCTTAACTCTGATTGCATGGTAGGAAGTGTTTCGCTTGCTTATGTGTTTCGCTCGCTTATGGATTACGTTATATTTTATTTCACTGTATTTTATTTTATAATTGAATCTATATTTTAATTAATTTCAACTATATTATAATAATTTTGAATTATATTATAATATAAATCTTGATATTTATAAATTACAAATTAAAAATTAAAAATAATGAATATTCATTGAGATATTAACATTTGAAGTTGACTGTAATTGATTTACAAAGGCGAGCGTTGGGTGGAAACTGCCACCTTCACAACTTAGCTCGGTACTCAGTATGAGAAAAATATACTAGTAATTAACAATGTTGCAGGTCTTAAAGGTGTGAAAAGGGAAAAACTCTCTTCACGCATTGACACGTTCTTCTAACCATGTTGATGCTCAGCATATGCCATAGGAGGGAAATTGATATTCTGTTTTTATTTACATTCAACTGGAACATAGACCGCGTAGGCTAATAAACTTCAGAGAGCTGGCTCCAGCACTGAAACCATTTTTACGCAGGGATGCCCTGGTGGTTTCGTTAGTGGCATAGGGCGTCACGTTCATACTTATACCCTGAGATCTGCTTCCCCCGGTGGCATTCTCTTTTCCATTCAATATATTCTTACTGCATAATATTATTCTGTCTTTATATTCATATTCGTCAAGATGAAATTGCCTTCTCCTGTTCAAGAAACCTTTGTTACATCTCCTGAACGGCAAGTAATCGGCAATCAATATCAAGATATACGCCTTCTTCATATAATTGATTGCACGTATAAGAGGATTTTCAATAAACTTGAGATAATCTATCGAAAAGCTCAATATGATTATGACTTGAGAGCAATCGCTCTCAAGAAGCATGCTGATCATTCTAGCCAATAAAGCGAAAAGCCGATAGATGATATTGAAGAGTGTATCAAAGATTTCAATCATCTAATGTCATACAAAAGACTTTTCATAATGCTTTACATTAGTGTTAATAGGAATTGTCCGACTCACACAGAATAATAACTCACAGAATAGAAGAGAAGTTGAATTCTACTTATATAATAAACAGAGCTAGTTAAAGGAAAAAGTGTAATGTCAAGTTGGGGGCCTAGCTATCCTCCTAGGATTTTTAACCATATATAGTAATAGCGGCAGCTATTGTTGTGTGTGACCTTTTAGACCAAGTGCTTAAGGGTCTGTCCATACCTAGAAGCCATTACAAAAAGCGGATAGATGTTGTAAAATTGCTTTAATGATATATATAAATATATATATATATTATGGAAGAAAAATTTGAGACGAATCAACCAAATTGATTAAAATTAAATATTTGAATAAATACGGAGTTAATTCTTACAATATACATATTTTTAAATCTCTACGGTTCTTCTCCTGTGAACTTATAAGTCCATTTCATTCGTGATTGAATGAAACTTAATTTTGACTTACAATTGATGAAAACTAGAGCTTCAGAGTAACTACATTGAATTATCGCTATAGATTGACCTGCATTTTCCTCTGATCTAAATTCTATTGAGAGCGTATAGAATCTGATATAGAGTTGAACATAAGAAAATCATGAAGATGAGAGAAATCTATGTTACGATGCACTGCACAGATTGGCCAATCTTGTCTGAAATATTTATAGTAGAGAATTAATTACAAGAGATTATGTCTCGATGTTACAGCCTTTAATTATACATAAGACATTTTTAGCGTACCAAATCTCTGGAACTTAGGTTGGTGGATCTCAATTTGACTCTCGAGTCTCGGATAAGATAAGCTCTAGCGGCAGAATGAGCTTCCTACACTCAACCTCTACTACACTCGAATCATCTCTGTAGGTAATTAACATAAATGAAGTATCTATAATATAAAGTCTTCTAATAGTGAGAGTAGTATAGTATTGCTATCATCAGTACCATTGATATTATTGCTGTCATTGCTGTCATTTACTAGTATTTGATGGCATTGCGCGCTGGCTCCGAGGGTTCTCCGGGGACCCACATGCTAAGACATAACGTGACTCACCACCCAACGAACTCATCCACCCAACGAACTCATCCACCCAACGAACTCCTATTTTTTCCATGAATCCCTGCAACTCTTCAACTTCAACCACCCACCATGCCACCCAACGAAGCAATTATAGAGCAAGCGATCGCTCAATTGAATCGACAATTGATTCCTAAATATGCTGAGGTTGCAAAGGAATTCGGAATCAATCGCGTTACCTTGATGCGGCGGTTCAAAGGTCAACAGGTCTCCAGAACAGAGGCAACATCAGTCTACTGTCAGAATCTCACAAATACTGAAGAACAACACCTCCTATTTCATATTAATCAGTTATCCGATCGCGGCTTCCCTGTGACACCTCAAATACTGCGCAATTTTGTATTTGAGATCACCAAAATGCAAGTAGAAATCAACTGAGTGTCTTGCTTTTGTGAGCGGCATAAAGCAAAGATCAAGAGCATCTATCTTCGTGCTCTGGATCAAAAGAGAAAGCAGGCAGATAATAGCTACTATTTTGAACACTTCTTTACTCTTGTAATTGCAGTTTTTTTGCTTCTTTTCGTGTGCAATTCCATGAGCTTTTTGCTGACTTCTATTGAATAGTTGCAGGAGAAGATCAAGCAGTATAATATTCTACCTCAGAACACCTACAATTTTGATGAAAAAGGCTTTCTTCTTGGCCTCCTTCATACCCTCAAGCGAATCGTTTCTATAGAAGCTCTCAAACGGAAGCATACAATTGGAGCAGTGCAGGATGGCAGTAGAGAATTCATTTCTCTGCTTGCTGGTATTTGTGCAGATGGAACTACAATTCCACCTGCACTCATTTACCATGGGGAATCAAGAGATATGCAAGATACATGGCTTGAAGATTTTGATCCTAAAAAGAATCAGGCATACTTCGCTGCTTCAGAAAATGGATGGAGTAATGATGAATATGGGTTAACCTGGCTGAAACAGGTGTTTGATCCTCATACAAAGCAAAAAGCAAGAAATCATTACCGCCTGCTTATATTAGATGGCCATTCATCTCATATAAATATGGCATTCATTGATTATGCGGATCAGAATCGAATTTTGCTTGCTATTCTTCCTCCCCACTCTACACACCGTTTACAGCCGCTAGATGTTGGAATATTTGGCCCACTTGCAAAGGCATATTCAGATCAACTAGATTCCTATACATGTTCTGGCTATGGCTTTATTCAGACTACAAAGCGAGATTTTTGGCGATTATTTCGTGCTGCATGGGAAATCTCTACAACTGCGGAAAATATCAAATCTGCCTTCATGGCCACTGGCATACATCCTATAGATCCTGCCCGCGTTCTCAAAAAGATTCAACCACGTCCACTTACACCCCCGGAACTGCTTCAGCAGCGTACACCTACATCTATACGAGCTTTGCGAGGCCTGATAAAGCAGGCAAGTCAACGTCACCGCCGACTTTCAGTTGATATTAAAAAAATTCTCCGCGCTGGGGAGAATATTGCTCTGGACAGAGAGGTTCTCTTAATAGAGAATAAGAATCTTCAGACTGCTCTAAATAATGAGAGAAGGCGACGCAAACGGGGTAAGTGTATGGGGTTGCTTAATCCATCAAATCCCTCACTTGCTCAATTCTTTTCTCCCACAAAGGTGCAGGCCGCGAGGGAGCAAGCAGATGCTAATGAAACTGCGAAAATCGATGATCAGGCACGCAAGGAGGATATGAAGCTTCAATGAGCGATTCTTCATGAGCAAAAGCAGGCAGAGCTCATGGAGCGGAAGGAACAACGTGAGAAGGAACGTTTAGAAGCTGCTCAACGCCGTGAGGAGGCCAAAGCTGCAGCTGCAGCTAAACGTTGTATAGAGAAGCAACGGCGAGATGAACAGAAGCTTCAACTGCAAAAAGAGAAGGAAGAACGTGCTGCTAAACATCATGAAGCACAGTTGGCAAAGAAGGCACTCGCGGAGGCCTCAAAGAGGCCTACAAGAAGATCAACAGTGGGCTCAAAACACCGTAGAAGCTCTATACAACCTTCTAAAAGCGGTAATAAGTGCCGCACGCAGGCCCCCCCAGTGGAATCAAATGATATTCCTTCTCTGAAACCTTCTACACCGCGATCCGATTCAACCGTTTCAAAACCACGAGTTTCACGTTCCGGGCGGATTATTAGGCCAAGCAATCGTTCTCTGAATTAATCATATATATTTATATGATGTATTCTACATATAGTTTTAATCTTTAATAAATAATATTAATATCTTCTTGCATTGTTGTGCTACAGTTGAAAATTAACGGCTCTATAGAGCGCTTTTTGGAGTTCGTTGGGTGGATGAGTTCGTTGGGTGGTGAGTCACGTTAACTAAGCAGTAGCTTCTGCGAAAGCAAAACGTAAAACAGAAGCCATGGAGTAACCTTAAGCACTCGGGGGCAAGTGCTCGCTCCGGGAAGCACGCGGGCAACGATGTAGACAAGATTTCAATGAATGAGCAGACTTTGATTTTTCACTACTTTCAGAATATTATATAGAGATTTGTATTTGTATTTCTGTCCCAGCTCGAAAAACACATTTTCAAACACAAGAATGACAACAGCTCCCAGTATCGTGGTTAGTAGGGCACTATAATATTAGGGTCCCAGGGCATCTCTGTGTAAGCCAGAGTGAGCGCTGTAGCTGGTTGCGGGTTCAAGTTACATGTAATTTGTGAAAAGTTCATACGGTTAGAAAGGGGAAATACTAGCCGCAGCAAATACTGTGAGCTTGATGCTATTTCTACCCATGTTCAAGATGAAACCGGTCCTTTTTCTACCCTGAACCAAGAAGTTCTCTATGACATTATAAACGCAATATTTTCCAAGGAGGTGTTCAAGGAGCTGCAAGTATTGTGGTTGCTGATGAGCATATTCTAGCCATGGCAAAATACTTTTAGAAGAAAACTGGAGTTTTGCCAAGAAACTTTGAGTGGCTGATGCCAAGACACACTCACCAAACATCTCAAATCCAACGTCGTCCCAAGGGCTGGCGCATCCAACAATTGCACCACTCAGCATTGCATACGAGAGCATACGAGAGCAGCCCTTCACGACCCGTAGAACCGTGGAAGCCCACCTTCACCGTAGTTTGCGGCGGGATATCTTGCACGCCTTGCTCGTGATCCGCTTCTGTGTTGTAAAGAATATTTTATCATTGAAGGTCATTTTGCTCTCAGCCGCCGCCGTCGTCGAAGGGGAAAATGGCACCCACGGGGTTTATGGACATGTTGAAAAGTCTATATAGTGAAGATGGTATGTATGGTTTGTTAACAGTTTCCCGTTTTTTCCCGTAATACCCTCTCTTATCCACCCGTTCTAACACAAATTGCTCGATTCTAGAAAAACCGGCGCCTGTGCTTTCGATTTACACGGCTGTTATTCTTTCAGTATGCACCACACAAGTTTTTTTTTTTTTTTTTTTTTTTTTGTTATTCCAATCTACAGTGTTGGTCGTGGGGCCCACCACCATCACCACCACCACCATGATGCCCTTATCTGTGCTTGTATCAAAAGTTATAAACTTGACCCTGCTGGATTTGGCTGACCACGTGATTCTAGGTTGTCTTCACCCTGTTATACGTTATCCCTTTCTATTTTTCTTCGTCAACTAGTCCATCACCTACTTTGAGTAGGGATTCACCATCAGTGATTAAGGCTCGTGTTCGAGCTGTAACAACATCATGTTTTCTCTCAAGTCTGGGAATATTCTGCTTTTTTATCTTTAAAGCCAGCTATTCACCAGCTGAAGCACTGCGGTTATTAGGATGGTGGCCAATTGGGCCCTTGGAGATTGCAAAAAGTTTCCTATTGACAGCACTGCTATTTATGGGCCCATTATTTGAGGCTGGAATTGTGGAGGGTGAGTGGAAGGATTGGATTCGTGGTCGCCGTGTAGCAGAAACACTTGGGGGATGGATAGGCTGGAGAAACTTTGTTGCTGTAAGTCTCCTTTCGTCAACATAAGCTAGTGACTAGTTTTTAGTTTCAGGAACCATTTTGCTCACAACATAAAGGGTCCCATCACGGAGGAAGTCATCTTCCGCTCAATAATTATTCCACTCCACTTGCTAACTGATCTCTCTCCTACCCAAATTGTGCTTTTCGCCCCACTCTACTTCGGAATTGCTCACATGCACCATTTCTATGAGTTCAGACTTACCCACCCCCACACCAGTTTTACCGCCTCCATTGCTAGAACTGTCTTTCAGTTTGGATACACCACTATATTTGGCTGGTATGCCACTTTCCTATACCTTCGGACCGGCTCATTGCCAGCTGTGATTCTTGTCCATGCATTTTGCAACTACTGTGGACTACCCCGTCTCTGGGGACGAGTGGAAGCGCGGGAGTCTTCGATCCCAATCATCACCAGGGGCAAGGAGGATGCAGTCAGGGGAGCCGGCTCCACCTCACATAGATCATTAAATATCGGATGGACTGTAGCCTATTACATTATCTTGGTTGTTGGAGCTCTTGCCTTTCACTCTCAGCTGTGGAGATTGACAGAGTCACCCCATGAGTTGGTGTCTTTCACTCCTCCTGCTTAACCGGGCAGGTTGAATGAACATTCTCTACTGATATATATTTGACATATTTACTGCAGGGAGAGAGACTTGTGACAATATGGATAGAAAATTTGTGTATACTACTGATGGGGCATCCTCCCGTTTTGAGAGATGGGTTTTTTTGCACGTTCTGTCATTAATCTTCTTTACATAGTTTAGAGGGCATAGAAAAGAGAAAGCATGTCGTTAGGAATACAAGGCACTGAGAATTTGTTTCAGTAGTGATTTTCCGTGCGTCATTGCGTGCTTCAAGAAGTAATCCCTAAAGTTTAATCACATACATAGTCCGTGAAGCTAGCGCTTTTAACAACCTATATTTTTGAGCACAAATATTTGAACAATTTTTTGGGTTACCAGAACTTCGAGAACAGCCCTCGCACGTGGCGCTATTTGGAACGGGACGAACTTTAGGGGCGAAAGCACCGGCTGTTCCAGCCCGTTGCTCACCAAGCTCAGCGGATGAGTGGATGCCGTTTAAATCTAAATATTTCCCAACGCCGTGTCTTCGACATGGTTCACGGATGCGTACCTGTGTCGATGATTCTTTTCTCAACGCTACGCAGCACGAAGCCCCGCATCCTCCACCTCCGCCGCCAGCTCATCTCCAGAAACTCCTCAGCTTCCTCCCGCCGCATCACCATACCCCCGCCGGTTCCCGTGACGCCCTCGTGCCCGGAACCAACATGTCCCTGTGCACCAACTCCAGAAATGCCCGAGGGGCTGGAGATTGACCAGGAGCACAGCCTGAATGGCACCATGGCGCCTTATTCGCAGCAAGTGCTGATTCTGACTGGGCAGCGTGACCGGAGAAGTAGGATCGAAGAAAAGGGGCTGGAAGAGGGCTGGGGGATGTTCGGGACGCCTCTATTGGTCTCGTTGGGAGGGGAGGGAGGTAATGCCGGATGTGAGTACTAGTATACTGGGTTGAGCACAACCCTTATCGTTGTGGGCGACCCGGGGACGCTACTTGGCCCAGTCCTCTGGTTTGTTAGCCCTTCATAGGAATAAAGGAGGTGAAGCCCTGACAAAATGAATATATTATTTCTAAGAGCTGACGCTAATTTAAATTTGCGGAGGGAAAATCATAGCCATACAACAACATCATGATTACGAACGCCTCATTCCAACCTCAACGCTCAACCGGGATCGGGACAGCCACTACTGCTTCCGCCCTCCTCTTTCCCTCATTCCGGTACATACCCAAAATTCCCCTCGACGAAGCCGGCCTAGATGCCTTCGTACGCGGCTTTCTTCTACCCACAACCCTCCACCCAGCCCACGACCCGCTACCGGCCTCACAAAAAGAGTGCATGCGCCGGGTCCCCACTCTCCAACAATCTTTCTTCCCAGATATGGCGCGGATACGACACTCCCCCACCATCCTGATATGCGGACACGGCCACCGCGATCAGCGGTGTGGGATTATGGGGCCCCTTCTGCAGACTGAGTTCCGGCGCGTCCTGCGGGCGAAAGGGTTTAGAATAAGTGGCGGGGAGGAGAATGGCGATGGCGCGTTTACGGATGTTGCTGGCTGGGCGAATGTGGGGTTGATAAGTCACATCGGAGGGCACAAGTACGCGGGGAACGTTATTATTTACCTTCCGCCGTCGATGTCGTCGGTGGGAAGCGGGGAGGGCGGGGCGGTGTCGCTGGCTGGGAAAGGCATTTGGTATGGAAGGGTTGAGCCGAGACATGTTGAAGGGATTGTTCAGGAGACGGTGTTGGAGGGTCGGGTTATTTCTGACCATTTCCGTGGGGGAGTTGGGGTGGATGGTGAGATTTTGAGGCTGTGAGAAGAGAGAGTGGGTGTCAGAGGGTATGTATGCGCTGTACATTAGGATAAGATAGATACCGTTTACATTTAGATTTAGATATCGTGGAGAGGATGTGGGTTTTTGGCCACTAGGCTATGGACACAATTATACATGTTACGCGAGCTTGGCCAGGACTGCTTTTGAAGAGTGGAATAGGAATTCCGCACGTTTCGGGCCGGAGTTCACAAGAAACCTTCAAGACGGCGGAGTTCTGAATAGCCAGAGAATTTCTGAATGGATAATTTCCACACCATTCTATGCTTTGCCGCTGCCAATTGGTCATTATTACAGATAACTACCTAACTAGGGATAAACATTTTTCATGAACATTAGAATGTTGATAAATGAAGAAGATGCAGTGCAGAATCGCTAAGCGTGTCTCAAGACACAATATAATTTATGTACACAGAGAATCCTCGCACCAGGAAAGCAAGACAGCAAGATGCCAGACTGCACAGGAAAGCGTATTTATGGCCCAGTAAACAATTACATAACCACCCTCGTCAGTGAAACCGGCAACACGCCCTATTCCGGGACAGGGAGCGGCTTGTTCGGCTCATAATTATTGACAGCGTACGACGTGCTGCTCCCGCGAATCTTGTATTCCCGCGCGCTGCCCCAGTTGTGCAGATGGCCAATCTCGGCATGGCTTAGCTCCGCCCCCCCAGCCAAACCTGATCTTCTTCTTCTTCGAATCATCCCAGTTATACCTGTCAAACAAATACACCTTATACCTGAGGCTCATATCACATTCTGCTGCCGAGTGACGACCCCAGAAACCGCATATGAGTATTTGCCAAGTGAATAGTACTAGTCATAATTATACGGCGCATTGTTGGCATTACTCCACGCATTCTAGAACGTCCACCCTCCCCTTGGCCGTACCCCCCACGAACTAGTGCCTCTTGTTTGAAAGCAGGAGTGTCTTCCATCATGGAATCGACACTAACGGATAGATCTTTGCCGCTCTCGGCGAGATAATGGGAGCTGGGGCGCGCGCGGCTTGGTACCGGCCGCTCAGGGTAGAATAGGTTAAGCCCGCTTGGAGAGTGGCCTGGACTCTATATTCGTTTGGGCCGCAGAAACCATTAGAGTTGCATCTGGCCGATCCACCACCGCGTTGCGGAGGTGGTTCCGCTGTTGACTCAGAGATACCTCAGGGTCTCTCTGGGGCAGGAATAGCGGATACTGAAGGCATAAGGGTCGTGACGAAAGGAGAAGTGAATAGGTATAGAAATATATTGAAGACGTTTGATGAGCCGATAGATGAACGAGAGGGGACGAGATATAGATGGATATGATTAGACGTGGCACTGATAGAAGGAATGTTCCGTTTTCCACTGTGTTAGTTTCAAGAAAACAAAACCATCCCTTTAAGTGGGTTGTATATAAAGGGGAGGGTCTTCTTTATATAGTCGACCTTCTAAGGTCAACGTTCCAAAAGTGAAGTGCTGGTCAATGGTGTTGCGGTAATAATGAGCTCAAGGACCGACAATGAAGAATTGGCGCCTCACATGGTTTCTTCCTAGGTACACTTCGTGTAGCGTATCGTTGACGGCGAATAATACCACTCAGAGTAAATTTGTGAAGATAACCAGGGGTCGATTGACTGTGGAAGTAGAAAAATAGGATGGGAGGACATAAGCAAAGAGCGGGAAGCATAGTACTTCGAATCAAGACGCCTTCGCGTGATTCAATTTTCATCGTATAGGAAAATTTGGGCATCAACTGCTGGACGTAGTATTCCCACATAGACTTCTCTTGTCCTCATCCTCTTTTCTTGTGGTAGCATTTGATGTCAGAGAAGCAGAAGTTGTTATGGGGAAGCCAAAATCCATCGATCATGAAATGATAAAAAGGCACCTGAAGAAGCTGGTGCAGAATGAATGCGCACATACAAGTAACCATTCAAGCATGTCCCAAAAAAATCAACTTAAGAGTGGACGTATGTTTGACGGGTGTGAGTTATAATGGGTGGGTCTACCTCATGGAGGCTGGTGGGGATTTAGACATAAACCCTGAAAGGACGTCAAAAACAGCAAAGAATTTTGGTCCGGTCATTGCAGTCTTCCTTGCGTGTGATTTCAACGCCTGAAATGCCAGTTGGTGCGACGATCATGGTTTCTGAGTCTACCAGTGGCTCTGAAACGAAAACGACAATGCTTTGCTTTAAACCTAGCTTGACAGTAACCTGGATGGAAACTTGAGTAGGATATTGACAGAATCCTTGTACTTGGTCACGACTCACGAGTAAACCTATCGAAGAGGCTCTCGGCCAATTAGTGTCTGTTTGTTTCCGAAAACTTGCTATGTTGTAAGTGTGTGGATCACGAACCGCAAGCAAGTATTGGAAATTCGGCCAGGAATTGGATTTCTCAATTGCAAGAGTGCAGGCCCATCCCCAAGTTAACCATGAGCGAGACATGAGGCTGTTAACAACAAATTGACAATGGCTCGAGCTGCTCGTTTATAGCGATGAATAACCGTCTTGCATTCCGTCACTGTTTCCGTAAGCTGCCATTCAAGCTGTACTGAAGGACTAGTGTAGGGAGCGATCATTGGGGTATAAACACTTCTCCTTAATGTGTAACTGAGAGACCTCAAATGCTCCTTGTCTGTTGTCATATAAATCTCAGGAACGACAAATATTTTCAGGTCCCTAGCCCCTCGAGTTTCTGACAGAATTAAACGCCTGAACCTTCACCAAATTGAAATAAAGCCGTTGATACATATCTTAAAGGGCTACATTAGGGCGATGGTATTGTTTGAACGGAGACCATGAACCCTTCCGGCTGAATCGATTCCGCCGCTCGGGAGCAGATGCAAGTTAGACACAGGGACCGGGCCTAGATATGTCGCATAAATACTAGTAATATCAGACCTCACTGGAAGTAAAAGTCTGACCCTACAAGATGCGGTGATCGAGATGGGGATGCGTTAGGGTTTGATAGATCACGCCGAGACCGCAGGAAGCCCAAAGCAGCCTAGCGTACGAGCTCCGATTTAATTCTGCCGGCCAGGCCAACGCAATTGCGGGCCATATAGCCAAAGTCACACTCGTTTTAAATGGCCTGACCATAAATCCCCAGGCAGAGGATGATATGGGGACGCAGTTTTGAGCTAAATGAATCTCCGGCAATCCATCCTGACCCAGCAATGGGGTCGATGCCTTCCCTTTCGTCGGCGAGGTGGTACCGCGATCCGCGCTGCATCGACTACCCCGAGGAGGATAGATCTGTTAGCAGTGGACAAGAAGTGGAAAGAAAAATGGCGGAATGATCCTTCATCGGAATTGGTTAATAACCATGGCAAGGAAAAGGCATACGTTCTCTCTATGTTTCCTTATCCATCCGGCGCATTGCATTTGGGCCATGTGCGGGTTTACACCATATCCGACGTATTGGCACGGTTCAAGCATATGAAGGGATACGATGTGCTACATCCGATGGGGTGGGATGCATTTGGGCTACCAGCGGAGAATGCGGCAATTGAGCGGGGAATTGATCCGGCGAAGTGGACCATGCAGAATATCGCTAATATGAAGGAGCAGCTGAGGGCGATTGGGGCACGATTTGATTGGGATAGGGTATGGTAGATATTTTCATATTCCATTGATAAAATATTGTGCTTGCGATTTTCTTTCTCGCTGATGTTTTCTAACTGTGAACGGGTGCTACAGGAACTGATGACGTGCTCGCCTGAATTTTATAAACATACGCAACGTATATTCCTGATGTTATACAAAGAGGGACTGGCGTATCAGGCAAAAGCAAGAGTCAATTACGATCCGATTGACAAAACCGTTCTAGCAAACGAGCAGGTGCGACTGGATTGAACTTTAACCTTGAAATATTTCCTAACACTGTTGAACCTATAGGTTGACGCGAATGGGTGCTCGTGGCGATCTGGAGCGAAAGTGGAAAAGCTCGAGCTCAAGCAATGGTTTTTCCGCATCACAGCTTTCAAGGAAGCATTACTGAAAGATCTCGAGTCTCTGGAGGCTAGCTGGCCTGAGCGCGTTTTGTCGATGCAGAGGCATTGGCTAGGAAAATCCTCAGGGGCGCACATAAAATTTCTGGTTTCTGCCCCCGATGACAATTACGACATTCAGGTATTCACAACTCGACCAGACACTCTTCATGGTGTTCAGTATCTAGGCCTATCAACGACTCATCCGTTGGTGGCCAAAATGGCTAGATCGGACCCTAAACTCAAATCATTTCTCGATTCTGCGACATCTCTCCCACAAGATACAAAAGCTGGTTATCTGCTTCCAGGTGTTGTGGCTGTCAACCCACTTAGTTCAGTTGAAGCAAATCCTTCCTTGCAAGCTTCGATTCCGGTATATGTTGCTCCATATGTTTTAGGGGAGTACGGAGAAGGCGCTGTCATGGGTGTTCCCGGGCACGATTCTCGAGATTTTGCCTTCTGGAACGAAAACTCGAAATCCAAACAAGTGACATTTGTGGTTAAACAAATTCTTTCGCAGGAAGCTGAGCCGGGAGATTTACCAGAGGCTCAACGGGTGCCATTTCTTGGACATGGTATTTTGGCTGATACTTGCGGATCTTACAGTGGAATGTCCTCTGAAGAGGGCGGCAAAAAAATCATCGAAGACTTAAAAAGCAAAGGGGATTTTGCAAACGTTGCAGAAAGTTGGCGGCTTAGAGACTGGTTAGTCAGTCGGCAGCGATACTGGGGAACACCCATTCCTATTATCCATTGTGATTCATGTGGCCCAGTTCCTGTTCCCCAGGATCACCTCCCTGTCGAGCTTCCGGTCATCGAAGGTGATAGCCTTAGAGGTAGCCAAGGGAATCCGCTTGAGTACGCGGAAGAATGGCTTCACGTCCCTTGCCCTAGCTGTGGAAAGGCTGCTAGAAGGGATACTGACACAATGGACACTTTCGTCGATTCCTCATGGTACTTCCTGAGATTCCTTGACCCGGCGAACAAAACAGCACCGTTTTCTCCATCCCATGTTCATCCAGTCGATATTTATATCGGAGGTATTGAGCATGCAATCCTTCATCTACTATACGCGCGGTTTGTATATAAATTTTTAGCTACTTGCTCTTTATTCCCCAAAGAGTTACCTGGGTCTACAGGAGTCGCGGAGCCTTTCGTTAAACTTCTGTCACAGGGAATGGTTCATGGTAGGACATATTCCGACCCATCTACAGGCCGCTTTCTACGGCCGTTTGAAGTTGACATATCCAACCCCGATGCCCCCTTAATTAAAAACACTCGGACTGCCCCAAATATATCATTTGAAAAAATGTCGAAAAGTAAATACAACGGAGTGGACCCGACCACTTGCATCAATACCTATGGCTCTGATGCTGTTCGCGCACATATGTTATTTTCTGCCCCTGTTAGCGAAGTTCTTGAGTGGGATGAATCTAAAATAGTCGGCATGGAGCGGTGGTTCAACCGGCTATGGCGCGTTGTATTAGATTCGCGTGTTTCATTGCAAGGTTTTTCGTCCTTGAGCGCTGAATCTTTCAAACTAATAAACGACGTCGGATTGGCCAGATTTAAGTACGGTATCTGATGATGAAGCCACCATCCTCCTTGCAGCACACGATACTATTACATCTGTTTCCCGCTGTCTCGACGGGATGCCTTACGGTCTAAACACCGTGATATCCGACCTAACCAAATTCACAAATTCGCTGGCATCATCATCACTACCAACGACTCCATCTCCAAGTTCGCAAGCTATTCTCTACATTGCATTATCATCTCTCCTCCGACTTCTAGCTCCTATAACACCGGCACTAGCCTCGGAATGCTGGGAACATCTCCATAGCCCAATCCGAAACTCCTCGACTATATCTTCACCGCCCCGGACAGTACCATCTATTTTTTCTTCGCCCTGGCCCGATCCACTCCTCTCTTCACGCGACGTTCAATCACTCCGCGCTCGCGTCGGAAAAACCGTCGCGGTGCAAATAAATGGAAAACTTCGCTTTAGCACAACTATACCGTCGCTACCGAGTGGTGATTCTGTGTCGACAAAGACGTCAGATGATGAACAATCCTGGATTTTGTTTCATCTCCTAGAAACATCCGAGGGCAAATTATGGCTGAAGGAGAGGCATGACTGGGAGAAGAGAAAGCGAGTTATAGTCGCACGTGGCGGAAAAGTTGTCAATGTGGTGTTTTGAGTGGCAGTATTTGGGTTGATTTTGCCTCACGACGACGGCTGTTTTGCAGACTGAGAGCTGAAGAGCCAAAGTTGACCTCTCCTCACTTTTTAAATTTTTTTTTTTTTTTTTTTTTTTTTTTTTTTTTTTTTTTTTTTTTTTTTTTTTTAGAGTGTTTTCCTGAAGACCAGGGATTGACGGGTTTGGATAACGCCTAATTGAATGGTGGTATTGTTCAAGGGATTTGTATATTATGAATCCTTTTCATTGGGGATGGGGGATTGGCTTCCCCGCTTTTCATTTCTTCCATCTCAGTATGACTACCCATGTAGATAATAGACATATTTATTCAATATGAACCTTTTCTTCCTCTTTCACCACTACGGGCGAAATCCACTCTAAAAATTCAACGCTCTAGGCTGGGTGCGCTGCGCACTAAACCCGGTATAATCCAGGCTACGTCTGCGTTCCGCGACGCAGAACCATCCGCCAAACCGGGAAGACGAGCGGAGTAGTTGTCACCTGCCTCGGAAGATTACAAAAACATATGCCGACATTTGGGAGCGGACATGAAAGAAAGTTACGCTTGAGGGAGGGGGCCTGTTTCGAATCAACATGGTCCTGCGCGAAGAAATTTGGTACATGTTTTTTTCTTGCCTCTTTCACTTCCCTCCACATAGTGAAACACCTATTTGTAGATATGAGGTGTAGTATGTAAGACACGATTGAATGCAAATCCGGTATCGGTGTTAATAATTGCCAGATGGATGGTGAATTGTAGAGAGAAACAAACTGTACTATTTATGTATGTTACACTTTGCATTCTCCGGGAATCGGGTAACTTGAAAATCCTAACAGGCAGGTCGGCTGATAAAACTATAAGGGAAGCTAAAAACCGAACGTACAGCACTTCCTTGTGACAAATTCACTAAGGCAATATTGTCGAAAACAATTGTAGCCCCTTTCACCCTACCTGCGCCTGTCAATTTCATTTTCCACCTCAGGGTTGTAGGAGAACATAGGAGTTGGGTTCAAGGATTGAAAGTTCACACGAGATACGAGGACAACGGGGAGGGGTTCAGTGGGGTAAATCGCGAAGGGCAATAAAAAAAGTCATGAGCGTAGGGGATTTATTCTATGATACATAATACATGAGAGAAGGAGACGACTAGAGGGTTTTGTACATGTGCATACGTAAGGGAAGGGGGTATTTGCCAGCGGGTTTGGTATCTCACACGAATGACTCGTAACTCTTGATGGTGCAAAAGGTGAAAGGGGCGAAAGGGGTGCGGGTGAGGTGTTGAAAAATACATACGTTCACAAAGGGACACAAGGCAGAGACATAGGAAAAACGAAAGTATGGTGATAATGTCCACTTGAGATATGTCGTTGCCGTCTTCTACTCATGGAAACGTTTGAACTGATCACCCGCCAAACACAAGGGCTGAAGATAAGTCAACAGGATAAATAGTTAAAGTCTGCAGTGCTTCCCTAGCAAAGACGAACCCACGCAAATGGTGGTCTGCTGGTGGGCGGGGGAGACGATATCACGGATGTAGAACATGTGACATGGTCTGGAAAGACCAGTCTGTTTTAGACGCGTCTGGCAAGGTAAGGTCAACGGGTGGACAATCCGGTTGTACCGATGAAGGAATTGTAGGATACCTAGTTAGAGATTTCATAGTTTGCCCATGATTTGATTGTGCCAACGGATGGATGGCGTTCGTGACTTCGTTAAACGCACATTAAATCCAATGAGCAGGTTGCTTGAAGGTTTTGTTTGGTAGAAGGGATAAGGGGCCGGGAAGTGGCCGGGATGATTGGGTTGGAGTCGGATACATTGAGGTAGATTGAGCCAAAGGAGATGACGTCTCATTTGGGGTCTTTTTGTCACCCTTCAAAACCACTGGTGGGGTGGGTGGAAGGTCAACTTCCATGCCGGTTGGTTGCGCACGCATTTTCCTTATGGGGCTCAATCGGCGAGAATATGGAGGGTCAATTTCCAATCCTGGTGGATTTTGCCTCAAGGGTGATATTCTATTAAGGTAACCACCACTTTGGCTTATAGAAGGAGTGGTTAGCAGGTTAGCTAGGGGTTTTAGGTTCATATGTGAATCTTTAAAACGCGAGGATCTTGGAGTGTGGTTTTCAGCAGACGGATAAATGGACGTTTCTTCTGTTGGAGTCGGAGAAATTCCTAAACTTATTGTTGACGAGTTGTGGCTTTGAAAGTGGGCCGGCATCGCAATGTTGCTCAGCCTAAGACCTATTTGAACTGTGGCTGCACTAACTTCGGAGGAGAAACGTCGATGACGGGTATAAGATGGTCGAGGCGGAGCTAACATGTCTTCGCGACTATCATAGAAGTTTAGGACGGATGGTTTTGGGATACAAGGGGAATCTCTGGTGGGGAAAAGAGAATAGCTAGACGGTTTTCGGGAATGTAGGGCGGGTGGGCGTGGTAGAGAGATTGGGTTGAATGGAAGGCGTTTAAGACTCCTCGTTTTCGGTAGCCGCTCGTCTTTGAGGTCATCCTCGTCGCTAGAGAGATGGTTTGTTTTTTCAAGGTACGATTCGTGCCATTTCTCAGCAACAATAGGTTGGTTGACTTGTGTTGCCAAAGCAAGTTCTGTGGAACCGAACCCGTTTGAAAGATCTTTCGACCATGCGGAGTCTCCTGGGCCGATCATCATGTTCCTTCCATTTGCGCGGAGGAGAAGGTAAATAAATGCATAAACTACACCAAATAGATTCAAAGCTATGGAACCCATCACCAGCGAAGAACTGCTCGCTCTGTGCAAAAATGCACCCTGTACCCAGAAAGGGAGGACGAGAGTCTTTATGTCGTCAGCCAAGCCGGTCAAAACTTATGAGGAGCGAAACTCTTATGAGCACTTACAAAGAGGATGACGGTGCCAGCCAGGTAATACACAATACTACTTGTGGCAATCCTATCCTTCACGTCAAGCTGCGCAGTTCTTCTTAGTCTCATCGATAAAATGGTCCCATTCACGACCATTAAGACGATCAGACTTATTGTCAACGCCAGACCGATATCAGACCAGAGCATAGCCCAGTGTAACAGAGTTGCCAAGCACCTGTCCCTTTTCTGCTCCCTGATTTTCGAAGGTATCCATGTCAAAAGAAGCATGAAAGCTACAATCGCCCAGCAAATAAGGGAGTTCCAACGCCGTGTAGCCGCAAATTGAGGGGATCTGAAACTCCGGTATACTGCGTCCGAAGTAAAGGCTAAAACGACGTAGCCGATAATCCACACAGCTTCAATGCAAAGAATTAGCCATGTGTGAACGCCCTTCCAGAACAACAATAGTTACCTGTCCAAGTAATTTGTGACGAAACTAAGCATCCGTTCGCAAATGAGTGTTCGAGCCCAGTGCTCTGAACGCCTATCAATATCGAACTTTGCAAAATAGACGCAAGCGAAAGCATTAGGGGAAGGGTATTGGCGGGGGGGACATGACGTAAATGGTCGAATCGTCTCCTAAAATAACGGTGTAAGTATAATTAATTTATAGGGAGGGGATTGGGCATTAGAGAGTTGCTAACCTCGTATGCGGTCGATAAATTCTTCTTGACAACTTCCAGCTACCGTACATAACGCTCAATATCACGACAGTCGAGGCAGTCACGCTGAATGCGGCTGTTATGATGATAGAGGAGCGATTTTGAAGATTTAGTTTCAAGAATATGAGGGTAACCAAGTGGCTAGCCGCAATATTGCTTCTCCCATGCCCTCTGCCATAATGGGTTCCATTGTTGAATTGGTTCATCGCATTTCCAAGCCCTTCTCTGAACCAATTTCTAAACTGATGGTGTTCATCGCCGGAATATACTGGCTGGCCCATGCCAAGGGATCGGTGCGAGCCTAAAACCGTTCGAGAGAGAGATTTAAATCAAATATGGATACCACAAATGTGTGCAGTCGTGACGACGCAAGGCAAGAGAGTAAAGAAAGATAGGCAGAATTAAGAACGAGAAATGAAATGGAACAGTGCGGGCTCAATTAGGGGAAATTCAATCAAAATTGCGGGGCGAGATTGCCACAACCTTCTCACGACAGTGGTCTGTCATAGAATGAATATATTTCAGGAGGAATCCTGTCCTTCCTGGTCATAGTGAGATAAAGAGAAATCTGTAAAAACTAGGGAACAGAAGTGGACACATCGAGTACGAGGGGGATATGACATCTCTTCTCCAACATGGCGGATATCAGCCTCTCCGGAGGGCGCGGAGGCTTTGGACACCATGGCGATCAATGACATTTTCTCAAGCATCCACAGTTTCAGCGCCAGTCCTCCCAGGAGAGCAATCATTCCAAAATATACCAAAGGAGGACTTTGTCAGGGGCAAATCCAGCCAACAGGATCTAAGCGAGGTGGCCCGCGAAATCTCGATCTAGCCACACTCGACATGTTGGGAATGGTGAAAACCGGAATGGATCCTCTGGTGCCCTGAAGAATACTCCATTGCCTATGCGGGCGGACGGCAAAGTTCTTGGTAAAGCAGAATTGTTCGAAAGTTCATGCTGGATGAAACCGAAGCTGTGTGAAGTTACGGTTGGCTCTTAGCTTGAATCAGAAAGCTTCCCCAGGCAGCCTCGAACGTCAGAAATATAGACATGTAAATTCCACACAACACAACTAGAAGCAGCAAGCGAAAGGTTTGAAGATTGGTTACCAGGATCGCAAGTTCATTTGTGAACATTCTATACTGCGTATGTGAAGAGATATTTTTCACTGTGAGGTGAGAGAAGGGAAATGGTGCAATATATCTAAAGGTTAGGGCTTGACCTGAAGACTGGACAACCATTGCAAGAGGTGAGCGGCTAGCAAGATATTACCACGATTGCTTCAATTTACTCGTAGCTAATCCGTGCGGCGAATCTAGTGCTATAGCTTCCATAACTAACTTACCGTCCCACGTATTTTTAGTATAATCTGGAAGGGCGAGGGTGAGCGAGGACAAGGTCTAAGATATTGAAACCGGATTCAATAAACCTT